GAAAGAGAAAAAAATAATCCAAATGCTTTTTTTTAAGAGTTTGTTCTCTTTCCCCCACCAATGGTCATAACCCTGGCACCGGAAGTGAGATTGACCAAGACAGAGCTCCACTCAAACCAACCTGTCACCACAAGGAGTACTGCCATCTGGGACTATTAAACTTCTCAACACGGACTGACAGACAACATGTTTGAGGCTGAATATTGCCTGGTCCTAAGCATCTCCAATTCCCCTTGTCTGCAGTTGGAACTGAGGGCCACCTAACAAGATGGGGCCCTAGCATTGAAAGGCCAGTTTAACAAGGGTATATAGGCCCCTCCTGATGTAGATAGGCACCTATAGAGATTTACATAGGCAACACGTGGGGGGGCTATCGGGGGGGGGGGGGGGGTGGGGGGGGGGGGGGAGGTGTGCCTCCCCTGAGACTGGCCGCTGCCGAAGCTGCCGCCAGCTTCTGCGGGTGGTCACCACTCGCAGCCGCTCCCCCCTACCGCTGACACCTCCAGCAGTGGCTGCGGGCAGTCTCCACTCACCAACAACACCAACACCAGCAGCTGCGGGCGGTCCCTGCTCGCCGCTCACCGATGATGACACCAACGGCTGCGGGCAGTCCCCGCTTGCCACGATGGTGCCCCCCCAAGTCTTGGGAGGCACCAGTCATTCATGGAGATTTATAATACACCTAAACAGGATATGCACTTATCTCCCATTAAAAGTCAGTGGGAAGTAGAAGGACTAATCCCACTCAGCATGTATCTGTATCTTTAGGCACCAGACGGCTAAATTCTCAAAGCTTAACCCCGAAAACCTTTGCTAAAAGAAGTCATCCATATACATGCCTGTAGCACCAATGCAATCTATGGGATTACAGGTATAAGTAAAGTCCACTCCTGTTTTTTTAGACTACAGGGTCAGATCAAAGATTTGCAACCAATTAACAGATTAACAATCCTGGACACATCATGAGCTCAATATATATATCAGGGAGAGGGAAAGACAAGAGCCAAGGATGCCAAAAGAAAAAAAAAATCAGACACTAGAGATCTGAAATGCGATTAACATGATTTATAGCATGCCAATGAGCAAGAAATGAATGTATTAAGCAATGCAAAAATGATACTTGTTTTGCATTTGTCATTTGATTAGACTTATACAGTAAGAGATAATCAAGGACAGTGCTCTGATTGCTCCTATGGCCCACTGATTAAGCATCACAATTAGGGACAAGTGAACCAGTTCAAATAAAACTAGTTTCCCTTCTAATCTCTGTGCATAGGGCACTTTTCAAATCCTTCTTAAGAATACACTTCTTCTGCGAGGCCTGCAAACACTAACTCTTCATCCCACTACTTCATCTAAAGGAAAAATACTGCAGCAACAAACAGACCCTGACTTTTCACTGGCTCATCTACTGCTTATTGAATTGTCAGAAAGGGTCATTATATTCAGTGTCTTATACAAAGCCAAGCATGCTCTTGGCCATTAATTATAAAATTAAAATAAAAAAATTCCACTCCCCCCACACACAATATCAGACAAAATCATCCATTCAAAATTGACCTTTCTGTAACATGAAAAGCCTGGATGAGTCTCTCTTCCACCCTGCTTATAGGTTTCAGGCACCTTTTCATTTATGAGCCCCACACAAGACCTGAAAAGGCAGTACAAATACACCCCAAGAGATGACATTCTTGTGCTGTTTCTAGCATAACTCAAACCAGAAACCAGCATCAAATAAAAATCTCCTCTCAAGATTTCCAAGCAGAAGTGAACCTAAAGACCAGGGGTGTCAAACCTGTAACCTGCAGACTGGATCTAGCCTACAGAGCTGTTTTGTATGACCTGGTGTCTCAGGTCACACAAACCTCTTTTGATTTGGCCCAATAATAGATTCATAGAGGTTCATGAGGACTGGAAGAGGGCCAATGTTGTATCCATCTTCAAGAAGGGGAGGAGGGAGGACCCAGGTAACTATAGGACAATTATCCTAACTTCTATCCTAGGGAAAATCCTGGAAAAATCCATTAAGGAGTCTATGTATGATAGGCTTGCAGAAGGTAGAATTCTGAATGACAGCCAGCATGGCTTCATCGCAGGCAGGTCTCGTCTAACCAACCTCATCTCCTTTTACGATCAGGTCACCTGGATAAGGGACAAGTGGTAGATATTGTATACCTTGACTTCCAAAAAGCCTTTAATCTGGTATCCCATGATGCTCTCATGAGACTATTGGAAGATAGCAGGCTAATCTGCAAGATGGTTAGATGGGTACAAAACTGGCTGCGGGGTAGGACCCAGCGGGCATGTCCACACATACAAGCACATACGCATGCAGCAGCTCAAATACAACGGTTCAAATTTGCACTGGGGCTTTTTCTCTCAGCGCATGTGCCCGAACATGCACTTTGGTGTGGGGCAAATTGTGCCACTTGGGGAAAAATACCCCTGCCTGGCTGCTCCCAGATCTGCAGCCAGGGGGAGCTAGAGCCCAGGGCCAGAACCTGTGTTGTCCCCAGCAGTATAAAAAGCTGCCGTGTCCTGGACCCAGCAGTACAAAAAGATGCCCTGTCAAGTAAATCAGGGCTACTTGCTCTCAGGAGCTTCTGGGGCCCAGCCAATTGGTAGTTGGGGACACTACCCTTTGTGCCGGCTGGACTGCTGAAGCAGCTCTGAGAGTTCCCTGCACCCTCTACCCATTGCAGCAGTCTGACAGCAGGAGCTGCTGCCTGCCTGTGACCTGATGAGCACCTACCAGACCTGGATGGGGACTGCACAGCCAGTAGAGGCATCTGCCCCTCTAGGCCAGCTGCCAGTAGACTGTGGCTGCAAAACTGGCCTTTGTGCGGCACTACTGCCATGTGTACCCCCTGCCCAGCCATCTGGGCAGCTGTTACCAGGAAGATGTTCTGGGTGTGGTAGCCTGCTTTGAACTGTCAAAGCATGTCCTCCTGGCCACAACTGACCAGGAGGTCAGCCACCTCCAGCCAGATCCAAGGTGCCAGCTCTGAGCAGGCAGGGTCCTACCACTGGAGTTCTGGTATTCCCTATTTGAACACTGAAAAATCCCTGATAAAAAAATCCCAAAGTCACTCTGTAAAATACCCCAAAAATCCATGTTCCTCCACAATTAAAACAAAAGGCCACTATATATATAGAGAGAGAGAGAAAGAGAGTGAGAGACAGAGAGGCAGTATTCAGTTGGGAATGTTGTCTTGATATATCTACAGTGTTAAAGCAGTTTGGAAGCCTACCAGTGTCTCTATCAACATAATAAAGTGAATTCAAAATACCTATATGTTTTGCTGCCCACCCCCCAGGGACTACAGCCCCCCCCAACAGGGGCCACCACCCCCTCCTGCTGGGCCCACATGCCCCACCCCCACTT